ACATTTTGATGGAAGAGTGGTAGCTATGGTTATAACCTCGTACTAAATCTTGAATCACATCTATGTAGCGATGGGTGTTTTTGGCTGTGAAATATCTCCGCATACCTTTTAGAGTCCTGTTAAATCTCTCAACAACACTGGCCTTTACGCTGCTGGCTTTGGCAAAGTGCACAATGCTGTGTTTCTTCATGAGGACTTCAAATTTCTTATTAAAAAATTCTTTACCAGCATCCGTTTGCAGTTTTTTAGGGGTACCACTGTCTTTCAAAACTGAATCAAAAGCTTCTGTAACATCTTTTTCAGGACTTGTATATAGACTTTCTTTGAAAATACATCTATGACAGTTAATAGGTAATTAAAACCGTCGTTTGATTTTGACACGGCCTGCATGTCGCATATGTCAGCTTGAAACTGCTTTAGTGACCCTGAGACAAAAACCTTATTTCTCGGAAAACAAACTCTTGCTGGTTTGTGGAGTGTGTGAGCATCCTGTTCTGGGAGAAAATCGCAAGCCTTATCCGATCAAACTTTCTTCCCAGTCTCTCAATGTAAACCGGTTCTAAACCTTTCCACACCTCCGTAACTACCCTGATGTTTTGGTGAAAAATAAACCATTTTCATTACCTCCTCCATCTCTGACGGATGCTTGAAAAAAAATGATACATATTCATTCTCATTATTTCTTTTTATTTCATAAATTGTACACGTGACAATAAAGCTAGTCGGATATAAGAATAAAACCTAATCGTACTGTAAAAACAGCTGTACAATCTAGTCAGATATAAGGAATAAAATCTATTCACACTGTAAAAAACAACTGTGCGGTCCAATCAATTATAAAATCTATTCACACTGTAAAAAACAACCGTGAGTCCTAGTCAACTATAATGAACAAAATCTAATTGCACTGTAAAAAGTAACTGTGCGGTCTAATCAAATATAAAATCTAATTGCACTGGAACAAACAGCCGTGAGGCCTAGTCAGATATAAGGAATAAAATCTAATGGTTAACTACTGGAAATGTTTATAATTAAAAAAAAAAAAGTTGCAGAAGAGACAGCATGCCCCCCACAGTTCACTCCACCACCACAGCCAGTGCATCCAGTGCATCCAGGTCAGCTTTGGTCAGGCGATCGTACACAGGAAAAATGCCCTGAATCCGTGCAGCTGCGTCACAGCCATGGTGAACAGGATTTCAGCATCCAGCTGGAAGCCATGCAGAGTGAGAAAACTTTGAAGAGCCAGAATCAGCTTAGATGTTAAAACTCTGCTGATAATGTCAGGAAAGTGAAATTCGTAAAATAATTCATTTTCAGCTACGTAAAGACATTCATGTTGCCGCTGACTGGGGTGATCGATCTTGCGTCCGTGACAGATTGTAGGTAGGAGAGCTTTGACCGCCATGTTGACCAAGTGAAGAATCGCCATCTTCACTCGCTCCACCGTGTTTTCAGAAAACGCCCAGTCAGGCAGACGTAGAGGCTCCTCACCAGTGCTCTGAATGTCGAGGGTCTGCTGCTGCTGCTGTTGCACACCGTCCTCCCGAGCAGGTTGAGGCGAAACCGGTGGCAGATCAGGGATTGATGTCTCTGAAGGATGTGGAGTATCAGGACTCGCCGGAGTCTCGTCGATCCAGGGTCTGAATGGTGCGTTAGCAGAGATGGTCTCCGGGACCTCCATGATTGTGGGGAGCCGTGGGAAGTTATCCTCTGGAAAGCATGATGGTGGTGGCGGCAACGTGGGCCGCGGACTGCCATTGTATCTCGGTGGTGATGAAGCGGCTAGCACCCAGCTCGGTTGCAGGGAAAAGCTGTCCAGGGTCCATAGTTCATTAAGGGTCGACTGAGTGTAGAAACCCATCATGCTGATGCCCTAGATCGTCTGGGATGAAATGGTTTCTAGGTGAAAGCTCTTTATATATAGTGATGGCGGGGGGGTTTGATGATGCGACTGCCGCTCCTCCTCCTGAGGCGGGGCTTTGAATTCCAGCTTTTTTCACATTGTCAGAATGTCTTTCCAGCAGCGGCTGGTACGAAAAAGTGAAGTGATATGATCCACCACTTCATCTATTTTCTCACACCAGACCTCGAAAGGTACAAACTGTAAAAGGCGGTAAATACCGCATTCAGAATGCACATTTTCCAGCACAAAAAAGAGCTCCGATCCTCTCCCGGACCGAGGCCTTGAAAATCCACTGCCCATCCACATCTTCGAGCCCCTCCCATGAAGCGCTGAAAGCTATCACAGTGTTCTAGATTTCATCCAGCGATGGAAGAGCTTGCGGCCTGTTGCGTTTTACAGCCGGACGAGGTCTCTCATGATCATCTTTGTACACCCTGCGTGGAACTGGGAGGTTGAGCACTGCCCAGTCATTGTAGGAGAGAACTGCTGAATGTGATAAATATTGCTTGAGAGGTTCGTCCTCAGCCACATCATGGATTAGACAAAGCTCCTTAGTGTCATAGCTGAACCGGTACCCAAAACTACCGGTATAGACGTAAGGTTCCAGCGGCCATATTTGCTCCAAGGACTCTTTACCGCCAAAAGGAGGAAGCTGAACTCTACACATGTAGAATGTAGATTTGCGGGGTGCACTACGCCCTGCAGGCAGCTCATGGATCGCTATGGATTTTTCACAGAGCAAGGTCTGTGATAGCGGCTACGGCATGTCTACGCTCTCCTCTTTCACCTTCTTCTCCTCTCGGATAGAGGTTGAAGCATCGGTTGTAGACACTTGATCCATCTCCTCTTGCTTCACCATTTTCTTAGAGGTATTTCTTCGGCCTTTCACCATTCTGATTCGTTCTCAGTCTGTCTGCTGAAATGGATCTGAGCTTTTAAAGAGGCAAGCAGGGTTAGAGGGAGGGATATGGGGTATTACTTATGAAAGGGTGGGGCTGTGGGGTGAGGTATCCTAACACAAAAGAGTTATCAATCCTAACTTGAGGTAAAGTGGTGCAGATTGAATACATCAAAGCAGATCATCAATATACATCTTGACAGAAGGGGACTACAATCAATAACTTCATGGGTCATTACACAACAGTCATCAATTCATTTCTTGACATATGGTAAAGGTCACATCACAAAAGGTCATAAAACAATACACCTGTCAAGTTAGATGTGAGGTGGTTTGGGGGAAAGGTCATATAGGTCAAAGAACAATAGACCTGTCAAAAATTGTGACGGAGGGTGGTTTCTTCATCTCTCTACTGCACAAGCGGGAGTGTGAATTAGGAGTCCACCACTCTCTTCTTTGGTTGCTTACCCAAAGGTCAAGCCTTTCTGGATCACCTAGAGGAAAACGTCATACAAAGAACTACTTTAGCATATGGGTTTAAAATACTTAATAGCTTATCATGGCCTGTAGTAAAAGGACTAAAATTAGGATAAAGAGTAATACAAAATGCATACTTTATAAAAAAAATATATAAAACCAAACACTTGATTCTATCGTCTTATTGGATAGGATATGAACCTTTTAATAATCAATTTTATTAACTAATTTCCATTTTATTAAACTGCACTAGTTCCCATGAGAACAGGGCACCCGGTCGTGGCTCTTTGTGGACAAATTACTAATTTAGTCGCTCCCCCCCCACCACTATTTTACAAATATGCAAAAGAAAAAAAAACGAGCGAGTTTATCTGATGGCATACAGACTTCTGGAGACTAACATCAAGCACTATCAGCCAACTCACCGAGCTGCAGTATTTCTGTGGTCAGGTCTCTCTCAGAGTCCGAGAGCTCCAAAAGCGGTCAGCCCGCACATCAGACAGGCGCCGAAGTGGTCAGAGATGCGCCGGGCTGACCACTGGGGAGAACCGGGTGGAAGAATGGAACACAGAAGTCTCCCTCCGAGAGCTCCACCAACATGTCATATTTCAACCCATTTTTATGTTAAATGCGCTGGGTTTTACACCCGTAGACATATACCCTATTAATTATCTTACCGTATTACATCTAAATTTCATTGTTAAACAGTACATGTTAAAATGGTAGTTAGCTAACTACTTTGATAAGCTCAGCTAATGCAAAAGCGGAAGTGACCTAAAATACATAAATATAATTTTACTTACCAAAAAAAATGAAGTGGAGACTCCTTGGATGCTCTATTGGTGCAATTAATACCACAGCAAGTAATTTTGTCCAACAATTGCACAAAAAATATCCAAAAAATAATACACAAACGCTACAACTACTGGTCTAAGTTCAGAGACTAAAAATCGCGGAACAGTTTTCAGGCGAGACCGAGGCTCAGACTGAGGCTATTGAGGTCAATGGGTCTGATGCTCATTAATTATATAGAATTTTAGGCATTTAATACACTTAAACAGAAGAGTGACAAAAAAATTTACCCCCCCTCAGAGTTGTCATGAGTGTAAACTAGGTCAATTAAACCAAAAACATGTTTTGGTACCAGGCTGTAAACATGTTTATTTCTGCTGTGAAATTGGTATTTTTAACATGGGAGTCAATGAGAATTTGCTCACTTCTGACACCAGCCCCTCGCGGATGAGGGTGGAACTGCAATTTATTTCACTTCCGCGTTGGCCTAAATTTCAGACCCGCATTGTGGGAGCTTGTTTTGCACAGATATTACTACCTCAGAACCCCCCCTCCCCCTCCCCTCCCCAACAAACATACATAACAGCTCAGCTTGCCTTTGGGAGAACATCACTGATGCAGAGCCTGTTAATGAAAGGCTGCAACCCCAGGACCTGATTCAGAAACGCTGACTACCTGCTGATATCAGTTTCACTCACTGACATATATATATATATATATATATATATATATATATATATATATATATATATATATATATATATATATATATATATATATATATATATATATATATATATATATATATATATTTCACTGCTCTTCACTGACAGCCAGTCAAGTGTCAGGATGCTAATGGAGGTCGACTGTGATGATAATGGCTGATGAAAAAAATAAGCTCAGACTTTGTCACCTAGAAGAGTCACTCACATGAATAAAGAGCAGAGGACACGGCATTAATACACAGACCCCAGCAGCCGACCTCTACTCCTCTCTCATACGTGGCATAAGCTGTGGAGTTGTGGTCTGCATAAGGGTTTCCTTTATAAACAATCTGGAGAAAAAAACACAAGAGAGACAAATACATAAATAGTCTGTTTGCAATGTTGACATAGCATGTCCTACTACTAGTTCACCTGGTGAATAAATTATAGATTCTCTCAGATAAAGACTACAAAGTTCATGTGTTACTAAATAGAATATCTGCTAAGAAATCACAACATAGCCATAGAAACACTAATTGGTACATATGTTGTTTGTTTGTGTGTGTGTGGGTGGGTGTGGGGAGTGCATATGTCTGCTGTGTCTTCTCGATCCCCAGTGAGTCGTGGTGGATGGCTGCTTATACTGATCCAGGATCCTCTGGAAGTTTGTTCCTGTTAAAAGGGAGTTTTCCTCTCCACTGTCACTAAATGCTTGCTTAGTATGAGGAATGCTGTAAAGACTCTGACACCAGTCAGTGACTCGATGCAATCTGAAAAGATTCCTTCTTACAGCCAAGAAAACATGCTGAACAGTCTAATATCAATATGGGAACTTGTAAATGGTAAATGGTAAAATGGTCTGTATTTGATATAGCGCCTTCTAGAGTCCTGGAACCCCCCAAGGCGCTTTGCAACACAATCAGTCATTCACCCATTCACACACACATTCACACACTGGTGGGGATGAGCTGCGATGTAGCCACAGCTGCCCTGGGGCGCACTGACAGAGGCGAGGCTGCCGAGCACTGGCGCCACCGGTCCCTCCGACCACCACCACCAGGCAACGTGGGTTAAGTGTTTTGCCCAAGGACACAACAACAGCGACAGACTGAGCGGGGCTCGAACCTGCAACCTTCCGTTTACGGGGCGAGCACTTAACTCCTGTGCCACCGTTGCCACGTAAAGGGAAACTAGGCAGTTTTGGCTTGCTTTTAGCATCCCCTAGAGTCTGTTTGTGGATCCTAAAGTAAAACGTATCTCTTTGCTGTGCATTCGTCTTTTTAACACCTTAATCTAACAGCTGAAATGTCTCCTCAGCCTTTCTTGGTGTCTACAGGAGTGGGCCTTCTCTACATTCAACAAATCAGCTATGTTGATGATCTAAAACATGCAGGAAACGTGCTGGAAGCAGACTGCAGCACCAGGTATGTCAGCTCCATTTTTCTGTCCCAACAGAGTAGCCCGCCAGTCAGAAGTTGCTCGTGGAATATTCTGGCCACAGAGGGCGATAGGGGCTGGGTGTCCTTTTATTAACCCTGTAAAAGGCTGTTTTAGCACATACTGGCTCAAGAAAAAGATTTAAAAACATAAAAAAGATGCAAAGTATCCCTTTAAATTATTGGCACAAGGAAGTGAACTGTATTGGAATGTGTGCTCTGTGAAGGACCTTGAGATGACTTTTGTCGTGATTTGGCGCCATATAAATAAACTGATTTGATCTGAATAAACAAAACTAAAGTGCAAAATATAAAACAAAAAAAACTGAATGTTTTGTTGTATAACATTATATTTTCTTTTCTTTGTAAATAACGCCTGTAAACACAAAACTTGCAGAAAACACTCCAGCGTGTCTGAGGTTGATGAATCGAGGTCATAAATAGTCGGAGTGAGTTTTGGACACTTAGACGAGCACGCTCCCTTGGTTTCTGCAGAGCATTTATCATAATTACATGCAACACAACTGTGCCTCCCAACCCCTGCAGCCACACAAACACATATTAATCAGCTGGAACTCATCAAAACATCGCATTGTTCTGTTTCCCACCTCACCACGAACTCGCTGTTCTGACTCTGACACACATTAGCAGCTCCCTTTCATTAATCTGTAATTGAATGAACACTTAATCAATAAAATGGTTTTGAAAGTGTTGTCTGCTCTCTAATGGAGCCTTCAGAATGAAAGTTTCAAACGATATCAAGAGAAGAAAATGAAGACATGGTTGCCTTTGAGAGACGGGTTAATTGTTTTTTTAAACGCCTTTTAATCATTACTGTACAGGCGTCCACCTGTAGAGGGGTTAGCGTTTGCCGTTGGTAGGTTTTTGACTACAATATAAATTGTTCATAATTGAAGTTTAACAGTTCCCAGTGTCACTGGATAATCTCTAAGCAGAAGAAGCAAACAACTTTGTCAGCAGCTCTTATGCAAAAAATAGGATGTGGAGATTAAATATTTATAAGTCTAGAATAATAAATATTTCTCCCTATATAGAGATCCTGAATTATTATTATTTCTAAATGTGTTTTCACAAGATAATACGATTTTGTGTGTGTTTTATTTTAGTTGTGAACAAATGACTACATGTTGGCTGAAATGATAACCTTCTGTGAGAGGGAAACAGTTTGCTTTTGGATGAGATTGGTTTCTGTTCTTCTGTAGTAAAAAGGTGAAAAGTGAAGCAGGTGGGGGTCCAAACGTTCAGCGGCTCTGATTAAACTTCCCTTTAACCGGTTTCCTAAATCTCTGTAAATACTTGTTCCCATTTTTAATCCACTGTAGGTAAATCTGTCTATGTCTGTGCATTATACAAATACAGACACAAGATCATGAACTTGTCCTTTAAATCCACCAAGCAGAAACCTAAATCTCTAAGAAAACAAAGAATGACTAGATGTTTTCTCCAACCTCAGGAGAAAACACCTTTTACCTTTAGTCCTAACAAAATCATTCCTTCTAACAGTCTAACATCAGGCTGACAGATTTTAAACTATGGTAAATGGCCTGTATTTGTATAGCGCCATAGGGTTCTACAAACCCCCCAAGGCTCGTCGCAACACACTCAGCCATTCACCCATTCACACACACACATTCACACACAGGAGGGGATGAGCTACAGCTGCCCAGCGGTGCACGGACAGAGGCGAGGCTGTCAAACTCGGGTGCCAGCGGTCCCTCTAACCACCACCAGCAGGCTGCAGCGTCTTTCCCAAGGACACAACAACAGCCTTCTCTGGTGGTTCAGATATACTTTAGTGGTTATGAAAATGTTTACTCAACTGGCTGTAGATAATACTCAGCCTCAGTTTGGAGAAATAGAGCATAGCATTGACAAGTTTGACAAGCTAATGGATAGTTAGAGTGAGGCTAGTTAAGAGTTGATTTCTTCTGTTTTAAAACATTTAATCTTCAAATTGTTGTAGTAGTTCATACAAACAGTATTTTATAAAATTATGAAATTCCAATCAGAAGTGTTACACTCTGAGTCTTACGTAATAGAGAGAATCATTTCCATAGAAAAAACGTTTTGAAAGGTTTTGTAAAAGGGTGTTCACATGAACCATTGACGTGTCATTTTTATTTTAAAACCAAAATTCTACGTTAGAACCTGTCCAGTAGAGACCAGCTGAGGTTATTATCTACAGCAGGTTCATGAATAACATGAATAACATTTTTGTTTTACTTAAACATGAAATAAACATGATTTAAGAAGGACTTAATCATGACAAACTGGTGCAAAGCTTCTACTTTTATTCTCTCATATATTCTCTCATCAGGGCTGTTTGTCTGCTTCGTTTCAACAAACCATTTCGTCACATTTGGACCTTTTATTTATGGTTTTATAAACTTTAAACAGAATTTCTTATAGATTCTGAACAAAACAACAAGAGGAATTCATTAAATGGTTTAAGTGATGATGTCATATTCATCTGTGTGTTATCATCTTGTAAAAAGGAGAAATCTGTCATTTTTATGCATCATAAAAGCACATTTTGCCACAGATGGACTCAAACACCACTTTTCCAAACAATCTTCATGTTTATTGCATATGCATGTTAAATAAAATAAAATATCTTGCAGAATTTTTTTCATATTCGATAAAATTAAAATGGTCAGACTGAAGAAGCTTTCTTATTCACACTTTTCATTCTTCTCGTATAATTCTGTCTAAATCTTTTGCTGTTCTGCTGCTTATAAAAGTGATCATTTAAATGTTTGGTTTGATTCGAAAAATAAAAGAATTTAACAGATGAATTTCCAGCTAACTGAATTTAGAAAAGTGTTATTCTGGCGATCCGAGGTTTCATCTGTAAGCAGTTCAGTTCATGTTCAACTCAGCTTCTTTAAAAATAGATTAAATGTAGATGCTCCCACAGTAAAAAGAAATGTTGAGGACTACAGAGTGAATTTATAACCTTTTCATATCCTTGACCACAAATGGATTTGGCGTTTAATGCTGTAAAGTGTCTCAATTATATTTTGAAACTCAGACAAATCAATACCTGTCCCATGAAATCAGTGAAGAAGAGCATGTTGCAGAGGAAAGCTGTCCACCCCAGCAGGTGACTGATGCACAGGTAGCGGTAGTGGCTCGGCATGCTGATGATAGCTTTCATCAGAGACCTGAATGTCATCTTCTTTTGGTCCTGCAGATAAACACAAGCATTCCCCATCAGAGCATGCCTCTACAGAGACGGGCAGGGGAACAATCATTTCCAAAACATTTAAAGGTTCAGTGTGGAACAATTTAATTTAAATCTTCATTTTAAAAAATAATTCCTCCACGGGGCGTTTGGAGGTGTGCTAATGTCCTTTAAAATCTATATTTTAATAAAAAAATCATCAAATATTTATTTTGACAGGCGCAATGGGTTTATGTTTACATCTACCAGCCAATAGGGGGCACCGTAGCGGGTTGCCAGTCCACTTGGCACAGCTGTGGAAAATGGCGGACTCGCCGAGTCAAGCAGTTGCTTATGAGCCCAGAAGATGGCGACATCCTTCTCAGCAACCATAAAAGATCTAAAACCAGAGTGAGTTTAGGTGAAGCCTACAACAGATGGACCCAAATTAAAAATGTTCACAGCACCAAAACGTGCGTGGAAAGGGCAAATTTTCTCATGGATGGTTAAGCTAACTCGCTTGCTAACAACGAACGTTACCTGTCAGTTAGACTACTTTGCAGTATATGACGTTGATCCTAATATGAGAATACTGATCTTGGCCCATCAACCTCCACACCCAGTAATCAGAGGCGGCCTAATTGCCAGCTCACTTTCACTACTGTGGTGAGGGGCTATTGTAAAGACTTTCGAGCTAGCTGCATTGACATAAATCTCAAAACATACACCTAAGTCAAATTAGCAGGCTGTGAAGTCAATCAGATGGGCAGCAGTAGCTCAACAGGTTGAGCGGGTTGCCCAGTAATCAGAAGGTTGCAGGTTTGATCCCGGCTCTGGACAGAGAATTCTGCTGTTGTGTCCTTGGGCAAGACACTTAACCCACCTTGCCTGTTGGAGGGACTGATGGCGCCTGTGCTCGGCAGTCTTGCCTTGCCTTTGTCAATGCACCCCAGGGTAGCTGTGGCTACATTGTAACTCATCACCATCAGTGTGTGAATGTGTGTGTGAATGGATGAATGATACACTGTAGTGTGAAGCACTTTGCAGTCCTCTGACTTTGAAAGGCGCTATACGCTATAAGTGCGGGTCATGTTTATGTGAATTCAAAGGTTGTTGACTCTTGAGCCAGGAGAGAGTGGAGAAGACACTCTCTCAGCCTCCAACATTAGATGCCTACAGGTCAGGTACAAAAGCATTTAGTTGTCTTTGACCTGTATTTTTTATGTTTGGCTGGCTGGTCACTTCACGTATCGTATCCCGACGTCTGGAAACCTTGTTCTATTGTTGCAACTACAACCTCCACACACTAGATGTCGCTTTGGTGTTCCATATTCAACCTTTAATGATCACTTTTCTTAAACATGAGGTAAGCTAAAGTTCAGAGAGATAAATAAATTAGTTAATTTGCAAAAACAGGTTTTGAACATTATATTTATTTATTTTTTCTTCTGGTGATGTCAGTCAAAATAAAGTTTGGAGATTTTAATCAAATATGACTTCCATCAGTTTTTGCAGCAATGTTCAGCAACAATCGGTCACATTATCCAAAAGCAGAGTTGTTGCACAACTACAGTTAAAGTTTATCATTTGCCCTTGAAAGATTACTCACGGCATTCATATTTAAAGTTGTCATCATGCAAACACTGCTGACAAAGTGAATAACTTCTGGCAATAATCAGGCCCTGGTATTCATGTGGGCTCTACTTTGTCACAAATCATCTGTCTCAATAATTATTGCAGATCAAACACCAGAAAACCTGCACAATACCCACCACCTGGTGTTATTGTTGAGGCTGATTGCTATGCTGACTGATAGGATGTGAGGAATAAAAGATTTTAAAAAAACACACATCAAAAAACAGACAATATGATGACAACCCTCAGAGCAGGATGAAGGCTGCGGTGTGATGATTATAGAAGCTTCTCTCATTTAAACAAGTGCTCCAAAAATCTCAAATCTACTCAAAAAGGTTCTGATCAAATCAAATGTATGCATAATAAGAAAATTCAGAGATGCAGCAACTAATTTAGTGTGAAATCTAGACATTTTCTGCCACTTGCCTCATTTTCTCTTCTCCAACTCAGCAAAATATAGTTTACAAAAATAAAATCAGATTTTTTGTGTGGAAGAAACACAACAAAGTGAAGTGTTTTTATACTGAGTGAATGAGAGCTTTCTCAGGCTTTTATAATTAGGTTTCTGAGGAACTTGAGAAGCCTTTTCAGCTCGACCGCATGCTGGCTTTAAAGCACAAGGGAGAAAAGACCGAGCACTTGGCAGTTTTTAAATTCATGTACAGTTTTCAGAGATTCAGAAGTGATCTCTGTGAGTCTAATCTAATGGAATGATTGCTGTTCATGGGATCATAAACCTAAAACCCAACGACAAACTTAGCAGGATCTTCGGCAGACTAAACAAGTATTTGAATACTTGGGCTTTGATTCTACACATGTAATACCTCCTTGTTTGGTTGCTTGGCACTGGAGGTCACTGCGTTGGCTTCCCCCAGAGCTGAGAATGATCTGGGCCTGATGTCTGTGACAGATGGTGGGACAACAGGAGAGGTGGGCTCTTTACTCAGCGCTCCATAACCATTGCTTTGTGAGCCCAGCAAGCGAAGGGCGCTGGCGGATGAGGAATCAGCGGCAGATGGGTCTCTGTCCAGAGGTTTCTCTGGAATACTGAAGAGGTGCACCGTGAGGAAGAAGCCCCAGGTGATCGCTGAGAAGAAGTAGATGACTTGGTACTCAGAACCCAGCAGGCGACCCATCACAGAGTGGCCCCAGTCCATAGCTCCCACCAGGTAACCACAAGCACCCCCCAGACCTGGAGAACACACAGGGAGATGTATGAAGACTGTGTAGAGGCTGGCAGGTCTGTATGTCTGAGAGGAGTAAAATTGCTGGCTGCTGGTTTTGTCTGGGTACCTGTTATTACTGTTGACATGGTAATGCTAATATGAGAGGCTACAACACATTACTATTCAATGCATTACAATACAATGTGGGGCTTTGCTATACGCAATCTGACATAATTCTATTTAAAACAATACAATATGATAAAATATTAGATACAAGATGACTGTCACACCAGAATAAGACTTAC